CCTGGGGGCATGGTGTGTGTGGGGGGGTGGTGCGCAGGGTGGGTGTGGCACGTGGCTTCAGGGTGCCGCATGGGGAGCATGCATGGGGGATGTGCCCTGCCCCATGGCTGAGTGTTGCATTTGGCAGGTGCTGCCCATGCCCCCCTGCCTGTTGACCTTGCAGCACCCTGTGGCCACACTCCACCCCTGCGCGAAGTGTGCACCCTGTGCCGGATTTCTGCATGGCACCCTGCAGTCGTGTGCCTGGGCAGGCGCTCCCCACATGGGGGTGTCGGGCGTGGCTGCAGGGTGTCATGCCTCCCTGCCTGCTCCCCTCACGGCACCCTGCGGTGGTGTGCCCCACACCACCCCACGGTTGCAAGCCACATCCTCCATGGCGGCAAGCCACACCACGCCCCTGCACGACTGGTTCTCACAGCAGGGAGCACAGCCTGGCCCTGCCCACCTTAGCCCCTGCCTCTGCCTCTGCCCGTCTTTCTGTCTGTCCTAAGGCTCTGGGCCGCGCTTACGCAGCATTACAGACAGACAGAAGTGGTAAGGCATTTATTATATTAGAATGCTAAATACTCTGCAAAATGAGCCCAAATTATCTCAGCACCTTAAAAGTTTTGGGTTTAATCTCAGTGTTCAGCTCTGAAGTCATCACAAACCATATTTACCACGTGCACCTTTCCTCTCAAAGTCAGCCACCAAAACTAGGCTGCATATTTTAAGCAGGGAAGCTGATTTTCTATACTCCATTGGAAGCATGGAGATGCTGTAAAATGGCTGCTGTGCTTCTCCCTCTGCCAACATCAGGAAGGAAAGGGGTGAGGCTCACTCTTCAGGGCTATAGTATTAACGCTTTCAGAGCCACGGCAGAATTGGCAGTAGCTTTTCGCTCAGCCCCCAAGAGCTTCTGTCAGTTGGTAAGGTAGCTGTGAGAAGGTGAAAACCCTAGCTTTTGCCTGAGCAGTGCCCATCAGGATTCAGCCATACAGTCAGGATCTGCTGAAGTTAGAATTCAGCCATGATTCTGGAAAAGTAAGTTTTTCTTCATTTTGCCTTTCCAGAACAAGGTGATTGACTTATTTGGGAGGGTGTGGTATGTGTGAAAATACGGTGATATGTCCTTGCCCAAGAGGTACTTGTCTAATCATGTATGTCTGCACAATGCTTGTCCTGCTATAATAAGAGTAGAAGAAATGCTCACAGGATACTTTTAAGTCTGTTTAGTGCAGGGTTTGGATAGTGTAGAGCAGTGATACTTAACCTCTCTAGCCCTGTGGGCTGGATGAGTGGGGTGGGGCTGGTCCATGAGCCAGATCTGGTGTGTGGGGTTGGTACACGGGCTAGATCCAGCAGTCTGTTTGCAGATACAATCTGGCAAGTCGGTAAGACCCTGCATGCTGGCTCAAGCCACAGCATAACTGTGAACTGGGATGGTTCTGTGCACCAGATCATGTCATCCAGTCCATGGGACTCCCCACAGGTCCAGAAATTTGTCAGAGGGGAGTGGTGGCAGCGTTAATTGCCATGGCTCTGGGATCAATCAATGCTACTACTTCTCCTCTGTTACCACATGTCCAGACCCACAGGGAACTCCATTGGCTGGATGACATGGCTCCATGGGCTAAAAGTTCAGCACTAGTGGTATAGACTGAATATCAATGAATGAAGACAGTGAAAGGAAATGTTGACCAGCTGCCTATTCTGTGAACACCATGTCTTTTGTGCACTAAGGGAAGCAAAGGCATGGTGATCCTGATTATGGTGAAAGTGCAGCAGGGCCATGAATGCAGGGTTGATGGCTGAAGCCATGTTGGTCCAAGGACATAGGTAGGCAAGGTTCTTTGAGTAGATGTGGTATCTTTTATTAGACCAACTAAATAGTTGGAAAAAATGTTCTTTTGGGCACAAATGCCCTTCTTCACTATAGGGAGACCCGAGGAAGGTTGTTTATGCCCGAAAGCTTGCAAAGAACATTTTTTCCAACCATTTAGTTGGTCTAATAAAAGATATCACATCTATCCAAAGAGCCTTGCCTGCAGGGCTATGAATGGAGATCAGATCTCTTGCTTCCTGGCCCTGTGTTTTAGCCACTGAACTGTCCCTTGGAGTCCCCCGCGTTCAGTGGTAGAATCCTTGTCTGTCCCATAGGAGACCTGGGTTTGATTCCCAGATGCTTACACAACTACAGCCAAGGAGGCACCAAATGTCTGGACTCAGTCTGGCCTTTGGATTCTGTCTTAGTGGCCTAAGGCGGGGATGGAGGGTCCGGGAAGCGTCCACTCCTCCAAACTCCTGCCGAGGCATATGTGACAAACGTCTGAATGACCTCTCATGCATACACCACAATCCGGAAGGATTGATGGTGTTGAAAATGAAACAGTTTTTCCCTTTCTAGATAATCCTTGCCTTCTGTTGAACAGCAGCTTTCCCCTTTGCTCTCAATTTTTTCTACCTCAGTAATGTGACTCGAAAGTGAGTTCTTGGAATTGAGCATTAATTAGGGCAAAAAAAAAAAATCCAAACCAGAAGTGGGAAAAACAAGAAACTCAAACCAGAGTCCACCATTAGTTTGTGGTTGGGTAATGGCTTTTATGAAAGTGTTCCTTTGGAAAAAGTAAATGAGAGACACTAAAGACTCCATTAATGACTGCGACTACATATTGAGAAATCATGAAGCACCCATAATGATTTACTTAGAAAATTCTACAGGGGCAAGGGAGAGAAAAGTAGCAATGTAACTACTTTCTAGTAGCATGTGCTGTCTCTTCAGGAAATTTGTTCCTTTTAGAAATTTTGTTCTATATCCACGAAGCTCACTTTGACATACCACTGACTGCCTGTTGCTGGCTCTGTCCGTCACTGCCTGATCCGTGGCTGGACATTTTCCTTGTCATGATGACAATGGACTCTGATATTTATTTCTATCTTCCCATTCCCTGTTTCCTTTGAGCCCGGCTCTTTCTGACTTGTGCTATTCTCTCCTTATAGTTTTCTGTTTTCCTGCTTTGCTATTTCACTTTCTGTCGGACCACCAGCATTTCTCCACATCAGAGTGTATTTTCTCAGGGGTACCAGTGCTAGCAACACTGATGTGTCAATCCACAACCTACAAAATGGCTTCCAGTTGTGGGGATTTGTGGGCAAGCTTAAAAGCTTTTTGCTTTCATGAGGCTTGAGATAGAACGCTAATTGCACCATCTAGGAAGCAATTTTTTAACCTATAGACACTTCTGTTGAAGTTAGAGCCTAAATTTCTTTGTATCACTCTGAGGAATTTCCTAGCTGCAGCTCCAGGTTCTTTTAGGCCTTAGGGTTAGATCTTAATCAATCTTGTAGGTGCACAAGCAGGACTTAGGCGGGGTATCCTCCATTCTTTCTATGGGAGCTGGGTCACTGAGGAGCCTACAGAGCAAGTCATTGGGCCAAAAGCAGAACAAGCAAGGGTTGCAATTGTCTATGAAATCTATTAAATTAATTGGCTAGCTGCAGTTTCCTCTCTGCTGAGCAACTAGGTGATCTGGATTGGCTTGGAGAAGAGCCTTGGTCTTCTTACTCACAGCATAGGAAACCCTGTCTATGAGGATTGCCCCCCCCCGGAAAATGGTGCCTAAATTTTATGCATTGCAATGCATACTTGGAAGCATCTTCGAGGTCAGTGAGGGTCTGGTTGTTACTTGCTGTAGGGTGACTGGGCCATTTTCTTGACTCTGCCCTTTACTAAATCCTACTCAATTCTCATAATTAAGCCTCCTGTTTTTGGCTCCTTCTCATTGCTTTCTTTTTATCTCTACACCCTGTCCATCAGTATGGTTGACCAGCCTGTAATAGAAAAGCTCCTTGCCCTTGGGGTTCAGATCTTCTTTCTCATGCTTCTCCCTGAGAACTGGGATCCCACTGTCTAACCACGGAGGCTTTGTGACTATTATCACTTCCCCCCACCCTGTACTCACCAGAAGCTTAAAACACCTTTTCTTAGAGTCCTGCTTTGTGGGAAAACTGGTTTGCAGCTCACGGTTGCAGGAACATTATGTGATAGTGGAGGCAAACAAACCTGAGCTTTGCAAAGGGTTTTCGGCCAAACACTCTTTACTTTAGGTAGCACAATAAATACCTAGATCCAGACAAACAACAAAATATATGTGGGTCATTTTCTGTCTTGCTTTCCTCCTCATTCAGGAGGAGTCTTTGGGAATTGGGTCTCTTCCATGGAACTTGACTCCTTCACGTCAGGCTTTTTTTCTGAATCAGAGTCTATTCTCACTCCTGTAACTAGGTGTCTATCTCTGTTTCTGCTTCTTGTCTCATCTCCCTTTTCCCAAAACAGAAAGTTGATCAGAGACCTTTTCTTCGATAACCTCCTTTCCCATATGCTGGGTGAGCCTCTGAGTAACATTATCAGGTAAAGTCCTTTACCAGAAAAGTCAGAGGCTAATTCCCAGCCCCTGGAGTTCAGACTGAAAGACTGGCTCACCTTGGGTGGTAGCCACTAGCCAATCCTTGTCCACAGGTTCTTCCATGTGAATAGAGTAAAAACTTCAAAAATATGCTCAACCAAGTAGATGGAAAACATTCAATAGTAAATCAGCTGTTCTCTTTTTAAATATTTAATCAACAGATGCTTGGAGTATCTACAGCTTGGTTGCTACATGATGGTAATTAGTATTATGGCTGAAGCTACATATTTTAACTTCAATATTGTGTTCCCATATTTATAATGGAACCTGTTTTCTTTTATCCTTTGCCCTGGTTAGATCAACCAGCAACAAAATATAAGGGTTGTAAGAAGGCATTACCACACATTTCATTCCCTGTCACTGGATCAGATCTCTTTGAATGAAGAAACCATCACTCAGGGGACAGTGAATTCAGTGCTGTTCAAAATTGCTTTCCAAGTAATGTTCTTGAATAAGATCAGTTGGCCATTTGTTAGCATATCAGTACAAGACTTAACATCTGATAGACAAGCTTTCGTGGCTTGTTTTGATTGGACGTCTGTTTCACACAGCATTTACTACTTCTGCCAGACGAAATGAAAATTATTTTTAAAATCAAATTTCTGGTGCCCCAAACTTGTCATTTAGCATTCTGACATTTGACGTTTACTTGTGGAAAGAGCTTGATCCAGCAGGCTACTGAAGCTCTTGAATTCTGCTGCTGTTAAAAATCCAGATTTAAATTCGAGTTTTCCGCAGGGCTCTATCTTTATCATGGGTGGAACTAGAATCGCAGATTCAAACACCTTTGAACTTTCAGGTGCTTAAGACTTTGGATCCAGATCTAAATTTGAATGATTGCAGGGTGAGCCCATCTTTGAACTGTGCACAGCTTTGTGATGTGTAATGAAGTGCTACAACAGAGGAAGCATATAATTCCTTGCAGTCTGTTAGAACAACAGAGAGATCATTTGAATTCAGGTTGTTGTGACTATGTAGTGAAACTGTAATTTGAGTGCAGATTGAGCGAAGAAATTGAATGATGTTCAGATTAAATTGATAAGCCATTGAATAGTCTCTTCCTGTGTCTTGAATGAATGAAGCTTAGGAAATAATTTTTTAATGGGAAACATATCCATGCATTGCACACATTTACTACAAATGTCAGGCTTTAAGCCAAACAAAATAAGTTTTAGGATTTTCTCAGCTTTCTAATTGTGTTATTACATTGTACCATAGAAATCGGTCTATGCCATTAACTTTACTCCCCAGCAGTATAATCTGTCAGGAGGGGGAAGTATTTCAGTAGAAACCATACTGTATGATTCTTTTTTAAATGGCAGCTAAGACTCATTCATGGGGTATTAGGCAAGTTAGTCTTTTACCTACCGAATTCTCTCAGGCATTTCTGATGATCTGATTTGAGTTTGGCACCAATAGACTCCATTAGTCACAAAACTCAAGAGAGGATCGTTAATGCATATGAAATACAGAAGTATTCTACCTTCAGCTGAGAAAATTTAGCACAATAATAGATTGGGGAAAAACTGAACTGCATGACTCTTAATATGTTACAGTGTCTTTAAGCCAGAGGGAAATCAATCTGACTAAACACTCTTTAATAGAAATTTATTATTTCTCTGAGTTGTGTCACAATAAATCCCCACAGAAATCCCTTTCCTAGAATAAGTCTTCTTTGTAATTTTTGGCTGTAGAGAGCGAAGCTGTAAAGCAGGCACACTATGCTTTTTGCCATTGGATTAGCTCTGTGTGAATGGGATTGCTACTCGAAGCCAAGCCCCTGCAATATGCGCTATATATGTGGATGCCTCCCCACTCAGTTTTACGAAGTCATTGGGCGCATCCAGATGAGCGAGCGTGTGCCTGTTGCAGCATCTCAAAGCAGTTTGAAATGCCACAAGAGGCACACTGGGAATGAAAAAATGTTCCCTGCACTGCATATTTGCAGTGTGGGCTCTAAATTTGATACTGGGAAATCCCAGTGTCAAAACAAAAAACACTTGGAAAAAAAGCAGCACAGGGCACGCTCCTGGAGTGTGCCCTGAAGCAACCAGAGGCTGGGTCTTCCAAGGAGATGCTCTGGCACCCATCAGAGCGTCTCTATGGCTGTCATATGCCTCTACTGCCCCAGCACATTGCTTCAGTGTGCTGGAGCATATAGGAGCAGGGCAAGACTGCAGTGGTGATGTGGACCCAGGCACTATCC